CCCCAAAACCCCAAAACCCCAAAACCCCAAGGTACTACAAATTGCTATTTTTAGAGTTTTATAATCACCTATTGTTCTAATGTTTAATATAATATGATTAATTGCAAAAAAGAGAAAGTAAAAAGTTATTATTCTATTAACTAAATTATATCAATTATGAAATCCTCATCTTGATTGTGAAATTTGATTCAATGTCATTAGTTTTCTTATTTCATTTACATGATATTGGTATATGATTTTTTGATATTATTTAAATTCTAATGCCATATTCTTTCTGCTGCTCAACTATTCTTCTGAGATTTCTTCTACATCGTCTAGTTACTTTTCAAAGTCTAGATAATACTACTAATAGATTAGATCAATACCAAACTGACAAACCAAGTCATTTGAATATTTTATTAGGCCAGAATCCTTGAGTACTTCTGCACATGCAGCGAGAAATTTATCACTTTTATTATTCCTGTGCAAAATGATGTGCTTTTGTCTTCCCTGAATTTGTAGAATTATTGAAAAGCAATCACTCTCATTATTTTGAATAATAAACCCATAATTTATGAGTAGAGACCTATTAGTCACATGACCGTAGTTATATGGTATCTGCTCGCCTTCTTCCAAGTCATAAAGGCTCACCATTTAAAAATAAGAGCCCTCAGGTGGCACCATAGAATGAATTTACTCGTTATTGATTTCAATTGGTACTTCACTTATGATTTCATTTAGTTCATCCAAATTTGGTGCGACATATTACCCGTTTATCGATTCAAATCCTGGTATACAATAAAGATTTGTGATACCAATCTTATTTGAGGCTAATACATTTCCATTTGAGTCTACTAACTAATGAAGGGAGTACCTTCCAGGAGTGTGATTCATAGATTCAATAAGATGAGCAACAGTATGAAATTTCAAATAAAACTCATACTGCACATACCTAGTCTATGAGTACTACCAGGCAAGAAGATATTATTAGATAAAATTTTCCCTGGATTATTCACCAATGCAAAATTTATCTAAAATTCCAAATTCAAGAACTTTATTGTAAATCTCTTAAGCATCTTATAGCGTTTGATCTTTCATCTTATTAATAAGATTTACAGTTTGTTTGTCTCCTATCAAATTAATTTCCTCATTGCTCCATAAAAATGGAGTGTCAGCTGGAGTGAAAACTGAGAGAGGATGATAAATTCTTGATTGAGTGCCAATAAGTAGTTAATGCATAATATATAGAGATAGTGTGAGGTCTTCATTAATATCTAGTGCTTTCAGGATTTGACCAATATACGGACTCTCTCTAATAGTTTAAAAGTCAGTTCGAGTTGAACATGGGATCTTAAAGAACCACTCACCAGTTTGAATTTTTTAGTTTGTGGCAATTCCAACTAAATAGCCCTAAGGACCAAACACAGTCGGAAAATTTATTTTTTCTAAGCACATCCCTTATTCCTTACACCAGACTAAAAAAGAAGCATACTTTGGATCCTTTTATAACTCTTAGGTAGCTTTTATATTGCTTCTTTGAAAAGGGTCAGAATTGGTTTGCATTACTTATTTTTATTTATAATTGATAAAGCTTTTTTTAAGGAAAGCTTATATTTTCCAAATATATAGCCAAAAGAGTAGTTAAACTTTGAGAAAATAGCGTTAGGAAAAGCCTGGATATTTCTTCCAAAATTATAATTGTTGAGAATATATGAAGTAAAATTTTACTTTGTGTCAACTTGAAAAATCAAAGCCAAAGGAGGAATTATTTATTTTTAGATCAATTACAATTAATAATCATTTTAGGTATGTGGTAGCAGCTAAATTTTGGCATATTAAAAGCAATTCAATTTCAAGATTTTCAATGAATTAATTCAAAATTTTAGAATCTCTTAAACATTATGCATAGTTTACATTAGGGGTTTTGGGGTTTTGGGGTTTTGGGG